ACACATAACAAATGACGCTGCTGTGAGGATGCAACAGGGAAGAACATGAATCCTGAGAAGCCTTCCTGAGAAGACTATGTGCCTCCTGGTCCTGAGTCTGCAAGACAGTCCAACCTTTCAGCAGACTCATTAACTACCCAACAGAGGAGGGGCTTAATATGTCTGTGGCCATGCTGCCTGGACCCCTTCAGTCAGCCTAATCCCAACTATTCTGCAGATCCGTCCAGAAAACATACCTGTATAGAATTAACCTGCAGAAGAGGGAGAGTCAGGATTGCACCTCATGGCTCTGCTCTCCATGTCCATTGCTACTCCTCCAACAAAAGAAAGTTGGGTAAGAGAGAAAATGAGTGAGAGAAAATATCCCAAAGGTGCACAAGAAATGTCTTATTTGGACTGAGGCATCTAAAGGCTTGTGCCTCCTAACCAGGAACAACTAGGATTAATCTATTCAAAGAAGAGCTAAATTCTTTTTTTATACTTCTGAGACAGTCTAGAAGTCTGCTTTGCTTCATCCTCCTCTTAACTGATTTGAACCAATTGTGTCTGAAGAAGAGTAGCAAGACCCAAAGTGCAGTAATGGAAATAAATTTTATTACGGGTCAGCATGTGGAAGGTACCCCATTTTCAGAGAAGTACCTCCATTACAAAGAATTGACTATTTTTCTTCTGGTGTCACAGAACTGGAAAGGACTGGAACACCTGCATATATCTCACTGGAAACAGATAGTATGGACGACTGCTGTATCAAAACAAACAAACAAACTACACATATTGAACAAGAGACATAGATGACTTCATTTAAATTTGGCATCTCGGCTCCTGCTGGTGGATTTTCTATAGACATCTGGTTGGGCACTGTGAGAACAGGATGCTGGACTAGATGGGCCACTGGCCTGATCCAGCAGGCTCTTTTATATTATTAGGAGTATTTGTGGGTGAGAATCAGCTCTTAGAAGTTGAAAGGAAGAGTAACAGAAGCAGACAAAACAAGAGAGCTAAGACCTTTTGGTTGGAGTTAGCTAAAATTGAGTGTGCAGCCCAAAATGCTATTGGAGCGATATGGCTGCCTGCAGCACTGCTCCTGGAACCTGCCACTACTCAAAAGAAGTGGGAAGAATGCAACTATACAGAGAGAGAAAGAGAGACTGTTGCTGATCTCCTTCCTTTGTGCATATTTGATTGGTAAAGGTAAAGGTAAAGGTACCCCTGCCCATACGGGCCAGTCTTGACAGACTCTAGGGTTGTGCGCCCATCTCACTTAAGAGGCCGGGGGCCAGCGCTGTCCGGAGACACTTCCGGGTCACGTGGCCAGCGTGACAAAGCTGCATCTGGCGAGCCAGCACAGCACACGGAAACGCCGTTTACCTTCCCGCTAGTAAGCGGTCCCTATTTATCTACTTGCACCCGGGGTTGCTTTCGAACTGCTAGGTTGGCAGGCGCTGGGACCGAGCAACGGGAGCGCACCCTGCCGCGGGGATTCGAACGCCGACCTTTCGAACGGCAAGCCCTAGGCACTGAGGCTTTTACCCACAACGCCACCCGCGTCCCATTTGATTGGTATCAACCCAATAACTGTAATAGCTGACAGCAGGGCTGGGCATGATGGAGAGGAATAAGCAGAGGCCATCCATCTGATGTGGCAAATTAAGCCTCTGTTTCTTGTGGATGCCATGTGTATTTAGGTGCCAAATTTCAAATGCAGCAGAGTGACCTGACCTTCCGACCCTGACCCTTTGTCCCAGAAACTTGAATGGGGTCTCCAGTGCATTTCAGGCCTGAAGGAGAACAGCCAAATTTAGGGGGGGGGGTGTTATTTACGATGGAACATTTGTTTTCATCTATGTGGAAATCTAAGCAAAGCCTTTGTAAGCATACAAAGAAATCAGTCTTGTTTCACGAAGGCTATTGGTATTTCTCCCCAACAGGTGCCTGGGCCCTTTTGTTAAAATGCTTTGGTTAATAGTAAGATCTCAAACCTAGTGAATGTCCTTTAAAAACAGAACTGAACACATTCACAGTTCTACCAGTTGAACTATTTGGGGCTTGTAACCAACTTCCCCCCCACTCCACCCCAGTAAAAGCAAATGAGGCCTCCTCCCCCTTTTTGCCACATATTTAATAACAGCCATGAACTGAGACTTCATATTACTAACACCTCAATGTTTTGTTTTATTCTCAAACCTCAAATGGTTTATAAGCGTCATATGAATAATTTACACCACACTTGTCAGAGAACGTGTGTGTGTGTGTGTGTGTGTGTGTGTGTGTGTGTGTCTGTGTGTGTGTGTGTGTTGACAGGGGGGAGGGAGACGACCGCTTTTCTTCTATTTCCCCAAAGCACTTCTTTGAAAATGATTATTGTTAATTTATCCTTTAAAGTGGTTCCCCACCCACAACCATTTTTACACAGCAGAAAAAAAACTCCTACCCCAAATTTACGACCAAATTCACGAGGCAAGAACACTTTCAAAGGGTTGACTAGCAAACTAAGCAATTTAAAACAGGGTGGCCGTGTGCCCCAATATATAGAGGAGACTCCTCTATTTGAATAAGTTATTTATTTGAAGAGTTGCAAATACAAGTGTGGCTGAAAGCTGAGGAACCCAAAGAAGGGAGCAGGTGCTTTGAAGCTAGCCACCTACATTTCACCTGGACAGCAGTCTGAGCATGCACAGAAGCTGACTGGCTGCAGCCTTCTCCACTATGCTGAAATGCATTGCGTTTCTTCTTAAATTATAGTAACTCTTTCTAAATATGCATCCTCTTTTTTCCTATGGTGCATTTCCTCTTCGAGGGCAGTGCATAAAAGGCCGTGGTATTTTAATAGGTAGACTGTTCCCGATGCTAATATGCCAAAAGTGTTGCTTTCTGCAAGGAGGCTAAGAAATAATAAAAATATTATATTAATTGCCAAATACTGGTTCACATATGAAGTGATATAAAGATGTGCAGATCGATTTCGCCCTTGTGCAGGTTGCTCTGCCTCAGCTTTCTCCAGAATGTTGGGACTACAACTCCCACTACCCCTGAATATTACCTATGCTGTTGTAGTCCAACAACATCCAAAGGGCATAAGGTTGGGGAAGGCTGCCTAACCAAAGAATACATTTGGAGGAGTTTTCCATAAATGCTCTCTTGCAGATGAACATGGGTCATTTTCAGGTCACCACCTCTCTCTATGGAACTATGAAATCCATTCTCCAGAGAGATCAACCCAGCCACTGTTTACAATATTATTTTATGGGATTAAAAACAGATGTGGATCAAGTGCCACTAACATGCAGGTGCAGCTACACTCTGCAGGTGAGGGCCTCCTGCAGAAACCATTTTATCAGGAGGTCCGTTCCACAATAGAGCGGCCTTCAGTGTTGTGGCACTGAATATTAGGCAGGCAACATCACTGCTGTTGTTTTTGGGTGCCTATTGCAAAATTGTTTTATCACTTGTTGTTTGCTGCCCTGGGCTCCTTTAGCAGGAAAGATGCATAAATAAATAAATAAAATATAGTGTCAGGGGCTTTTTAGCTCATTTGACTCTCTTGGCTATCTATTTACTGATTCTGCATTTAGCTCACTCTTATTCCAAGGAGCTATGGATGGTGTTTCCGTGCGCCGCTCTGGTTTTGCCAGAGTCATGCTGGCCACATGACCCAGAAAAACTGCAGACAAACGTCGGCTCCCTCGGACTGTAAAGCGAGATGAGCGCCGCAACCCCAGAGTCGTTTGTGACTGTATTTAACTGTCAGGGGTCCTTTACCTTCACCTTCATGGATAGCATGCTGAGTATCTCCCCAGCCCCTGCTGGTTTGCCTGCACTGGGCGCTGAGCCGAGAGGGCTGCAGAGGGCGCTGCAACAATGATGAACAATGGAAGGCGGGGGGGAGGGGGGAGGGCAAATTTTGGCATTGCATAGGGCGCCACTAACATTTTAAAGCCCAAAGCCTGCCACTGCTCTCCCCTTCCTGAGACAAGATTGCTGAAGTTAATCAGGTTAATCAGTTAATCAGGGCTGAGTCTGCTCAGTGCTTCATCAGAAAAACCAACTGGGGATTCTCATGTATGTGCATAGAATTCCATCACGGAGTTCCATCCATGGCCTGAATGACCACCCCCTGTATAGACTTGTAAGATCACCCAGGTCATCTGGGGAAATTCTACTCATGGTACCATACCCTCATGGTACATATCATAGGGCAGTTACCCGAAAGCATTTTCTGATGTTGCCCCTGTACTGTGGAATCCTCTTCCCTCTGCCATATGTGAAGCAGCAACCATCAGTTGCTTCAGATGTCTTCTGAAATCATATCCTTTTTTGCCCAGGTTTTCCCTGACCTTGGAACCTAAAATGAAGTGCAGCAGGTCACGACCAAGGAGATGGACTTCTTTCCTTGGTGGCACCCCAGCTATGGAACAGCCTTTCCCATCACTGTGGTCTTTTTGCTGCTAAGTGACAATCTTACCTTTCACCCAGGCCTTTTAAAAAAACACAACACTTAGGCAGGTAGGGCTTCTCAGTTTCACTAACTCCAAGTAAAACGAAAAAGGAAAGTTCAAATAATATACATATAGTTCCAGCTAATATAGATATAGCTAGCCAAAGGGTCAGTTTAGATTTTAAAAGGGTATCCTTAGCCTTTCAGAAACACCCTCAGTTTTCCTAGGTTAAAAAGGTTAGGCTTTTTATGTAGGTTGAAAAAAAAAGACTCAGCTGAAAGTTTCAGCTTTCAGTTCAGCTTAAATTCAGTAAAAGACAAGGATAGCTATAAACTGGTTGGGCAGGTGACTGACCAGGGGTGAGACCTTGGGGTCATAATGGATAGCTTGATGAAAGTGTTGACCCAGTGTGCAGCAGCTGTGAAAAAGGCAAATGCCATGCTAGGGATCATTAGGAAAGGGACTGAAAATAAAAACGTCAATATCATAATGCCATTATACAAATCTGTAGCGCAGTTGTACATGAAATACTGTGCACAATTCTGGTCGCCTTACATAAAAAATGCCCAGCTAGCTCAGTTGGTAGAGCATGAGACTCTTAATCTCAGGGTCGTGGGTTCGGTTGGGCGCAGAATTTTTAGGGACACGGGTGGCGCTGTGGTCTAAACCACTGAGCCTAGGGCTTGCCGATTGGAAGGTCAGCGGTTCGAATCCCCGCGATGGGGTGAGCTCCCGTTGTTCGGTCCCTGCTCCTGCCAACCTAGCAATTTGAAAGCACGTCAGAGTGCAAGTCGATAAATAGGTACCGCTCCGGCGGGAAGGTAAATGGCGTTTCCGTGCACTGCTCTGGTTCGTCAGAAGCGGCTTAGTCATGCTGGCCACATGACCTGGAAAAGCTGTCTGCAGACAAACGTCGGCTCCCTCGGCCAGTAAAGCGAGATGAGCGTTGCAACCCCAGAGCCGGTCACAACTGGACTTAACTGTCAGGGGTCCTTAACCTTTCACACATCAAAAAGTATATTGTGGAGTTGGAAAAAGATTCAGAAAAGGGAAATCCAAATGATCAAGGGGATAGAGAATGGGGAAAGGCTGCAGTGTTTGGGACTTTTAGAGAAAAGGCAAGTAAAAGGAGGTGGGACAAAAATATATAAAACTATGCAAGGCATGGAGAAAGCAGACAGAGATAGGTTCTTATCTCTCTGTGCTGATTCTGGTACTTGGGGACATCCAATGAGCCTGTATGTTGCAAGATTCAGGATAGTCAAAAGAAAATACTTCTTCCCACAGTTCATGGCTAAACAATGGAATTCGCTCCCACAAGAGGCAGTGATGGCCACAAACTTGGATGGCTTTAAAAGAGGGATGGACAAAATCATGGAGGAGAAGGCTATCAGGAGCTAGTAGCCATTATGACTCTGCTCTGCTTCCAAGGTTGAAGACCATAATGCTTCTGAATACCAGTGGCTAGAAACAGTAGGAGGGAAGAGTGCTCTCATACTTGGATCTTGCTTCTGGGCTTCCCAAAAGCATCTGGTTGGCCACTGTGAGAACAGAATGCTGGACTTGATGGGCCACTGGCCTGATCCAGCAGCGCTGTTGCTATGTTCTTAACTTTGGGAGTGCAGTGAAAGTTTTTATTTTTCCATTTATGTAGCTTTTTATTTAATGCCTTAATTGTATTCCCCCCCCTTTAACTTATTTATTGTAAGCAAAGCAAATAACTTTATGCCTAGGGGTGGCATACAAATGCTATAAACCTACGGACAGCCAAACTTCTCCCAGTACACAAGGGTATAGCTGTATCCCCACTGCAATGGTACTTGTATCGCCCAAATTTCAGTGCTGTGTGAACAACAGCACTACCACTGAACCTGCTGTTGCAAATATCTTCTCTCAGCATCACTCTGCTTTCCAGCAGTAGGCTAAAGCACCAATTAAAAAACAGCCGCTGTGCTTTGCAAGCCTTCACTCCATGTCACAGGCCCCCGTCCAGCTATTTATTAGATAATCCAATTACTCCAGCATGACCTTATTCTGTGCAACTGACTCTGCTCCAACTGGAGGGAGAGCCTGTCAACCGAAGCATCTCTCCTACAGGAACTCCTTGCTGTAAACTCTAGCCCTGCACTTTTACAGAGATTGTACAGAGATTGCAGCTACCGCCTAAAAATGATTATTTTCCTCTCCTATCTTCTTCATGAAGCATTTAGCAACTGTTTGGTGGGCTGTTTTAAACAGGGCTGGACACACAAATTTGCACGCTATGCAGTTTCATTACACCGGATGCCACAGCCAGCAGCTCAAATGTTTTTTTCCTTAAACCCTTGCACCAAGTATTCCATTTAACACCGTAGGGAAAAAGAAAGCTGCCTTGTAATAATAATAATAATTTATTATTTATACCCCGCCCATCTGGCTGGGCTTCCCCAGCCACTCCGGGCAGCTTCCAACCAAATATTAAACTACAGTAATTCATCAAACATTAAAAGCTTCCCTAAACAGGGCTGCCTTCAGACGTCTTCTAAAAGTTTGGTAGTGGTTGTTCTCTTTGACATCTGGTGGGAGGGCGTTCCACAGAGCGGGTGCCACTACCAAGAAGGCCCTCTGCCTGGTTCCCTGTAATTTGGCTTGTCGAAGAGTACCACCAGAAGGCCCTCGGCGCTGGACCTCAGTGTCCGGGCAGAATGATGGTGGTGGAGATGCTCCTTCAGGTATACTGGACCGAGGCCGTTTAGGGCTTTAAAGGTCAGCACCAACACTTTGAATTGTGCTCAGAAATGTACCAAGTCAGATGACCTGTGCATCAAACCCTGGTAGCAGCTCTTTAGAGTTTCAGGCAGAAAGATCAGTTGCTATGTCATTGTTTTAATGGTAGATGCTGCGGGTTGAACCTGGGGCCTCTTATATGCAATGCAGGTGTTCTGCTACCAAGTGATGGCCACCAAGAAATTCATTTATTTATGCATTTATATTTATTTGTTAGATTTATATCCCAGCTTTTTCTCCAAGGAGCTCAAGGTGGTGTACATATCCCCCCCCCCATTCACTTAAACCCCACAACAACCCTGTGAGGTAGGTTGGGCTGAGAGGCAGTGACTGGTCCAAGGTCATCCAGTGAGCTCCATGGCTGAGCCAGGATTTGAACCCTGGCCTCCCGGGTCGCAGTCTTGCACTCTAACCCAGCCTTTCCCAACCTTGGGTCCCCAGTTGGTGATGCGGGGGTTAGCTCCTTGCACTATTTCATTTGTCCATAGTTATTCCTCTAAGAGATCCTGAAGCTGAGGCTCCAATGCTTTGCCCACCTCATGAGAAGGGAAGACTCCCTGGAAAAGAACCTGATGTTGGGAAGGGACACAAGGACAAGGGGAAGGCAGAGGACGAGATGGTTGGACAGTGTTCTCGAAGCCACCAGCATGAGTTTGACCAAACTGCGGGAGGCAGTGGAAGACAGGAGTGCCTGGCATGCTGTGGTCCATGGAGTCACAAAGAGTCGGACACGACTAAACTACTAAACAACAACAACAATTCCTCTTAGGCCTTGGTTAACAGCACTGACAGTGACCTCACTGGCTTTATCCAATCATGTCAGGCTCTGCCGGATTAATCTGTATGCTTAGATAGCATTGGCTGGAGAACATTAACACCAAGACAGATGCCTTTGGAATTCTGACACTGAGATTGCCTTTAGGCAAGTCACTGGCTTTTTCCTTCCTCATTTACAAGGATGCTGTGAGGATAAATGTAGCCATGATACTGATGTCCTCGTGTATTATGGTAATAAAGAGCATCTAAGCACCTGAGATAGGTAGCTCAACAGGGATTCCTGCTGTGGATTGGCAGTTTCAGGATCAAAGGCAGAAACTCAGCTGTGACAAGAGTTCTCTCTGAGGTTCAAAAGCTCTACTTATGTAAATGTTGGGCTTTTCCTTTTCCTTTTAGAGCAGTGCTTTTAAAACACTGGTCATAGATTTGGAACAAGGGATGACTTCCCACTTAATCCACCTCATGCCCTAAGTCAGTGGCGTGATAAAACTGAGATTCTCAAATTGTATTTACAGAGAGGCCAAATTCAAATATCCGGGCACTTGTCACTGAAAAGCTCTTCTCATGGTGGTCAGGGCACTACACAGCTGATGGAATGAATTAATTCACTGCAGACTTGGGTAGTAAATTAATATACTACCTCTGTGGGTCTCCCAGGTGATCAGCGGCACTGTTAGGCAATTTTAGACTCCGGACTTAATGGTCTTACCATTTTTAGATGTTAATGTGTATTGCTTCATTACTTCCAAATGTGATAAGTCAGGGCTGCTGTGTCGGGAGGCCCTCCAGCTCATTCAGTTGAGTGGGGTCCTAGACTTCTATCCCCAAAGCGCTACCCAAACAGCAGCACTACAGGTGATAGAGGGGAAAAACACCAGTGGGGCACTAACAACTAAAACAAAGACTGTGGGACATTGCCTAGGGTGACCTGTGGGCCTGTTCATCCTTTTCACCAAGAGCTGTGAGCTTACAGTATGCCAGAACATTTCATATAGCTGAATATCTAAAGAACTTTACAGTGGTCAACTACCACAGACTTTTTACCAAGGCCAGACTGAATGTGTTTCCTTCCAAAATGCTCCGAGGCAGATATGCAGATATTCCTTACTCTGCTAGATTATGCCCCTGTACAAATCAGGAAGTAGAATCCGTACAGCATATTCAACTGCCCTGCATACTATACAAACAGATCTCACAACAATAACAAATATTCCTTTAATTGCAAACCTTCCAGGAAGACCTGCACAATTTTGTTAGGTACCTTATAGGGGATAGGATTCCCAGGGTATCTTTGGTAGTTGCAAAGTTTCTTTCTGAGGCGGTCAAGATCAGAGAGGTTCCTAGTCTTTAAACCAAACATGGAGCAGACAGCCCTTCAAAAAGCAGGGTGTCCCTGCTTTTGTTTAACTGGAGAGTGCCAGGAACCAAACCTAGGACTGTCCTCATGCAAAGCTTGTATTCTACCCCAGTGCTCTGCAATTAAAAAGACTCTCAGTAGCTGAATGTTTGGATCAGCAGCCCCAAGACTCCCAAGCAAAAGCAGAGTGTGTGTAATTCTGCCCTTAGAACTGTCTGCATAAATCTAGCTGAGAGATTTGTTATGTTTCCCTGGTGAGGCCTGACAGGAGGAAAACTAGGATCTATTGCAATTCTTCAAGATATGTTTCTATTGTAATATCCTAGGACTTGCTTCCAGAAGAGGACTTTGCAGCATCAAGGCAGGGGTTGGGGGAGTGAGGAGAGAGAATAAACTTGTAGGGTCAGAGAGATAATATCTCTTCTTCAGGATGGAATCTTCTGCTAAAGAGAATGCAGATGCCTGTGAGTGCATGTCCCATGGCTGATCCTGGCACTGAAAACAGGTTCTGGGGAATGGCCCTGGCTCAAATTAAGCCCTGAAGCAGCCTTGGAAAAATAAAAAGGAAGGCGACTGATCAGACCAGGAATCTCAATCATCCAATCAGTTCAATGCGCTTGACAGCCCCCTTATGTGTAATAAAGGTACAAGGCATGTATTTCTGTGGATGTTTTAAACGATGTGTAAAAGCAGCTGCACTACTTGGTTGGGATCACTTGAGCTGTAATGTTGGAACAGGGACTGATCTCTGGGGTGGGAGGAGGCTTATAAAACAGGGACGGAATGCTATTGGTATTAAAACACCTGATGGCAACATTTGTGACAGAATGAATATTTGATGTCTGCTGCAATCAACAGAGATAGCACTGGACTTGAATACCAGGGTTCAACACACCAACTCAGCTGCACACTTTTTGTTGAGGTCCTGGGCTGTTTACTACTTGCCAACTTCAGCTCCCTAACTAGTAAATGAGTAAAGCAACTAACTTCCAGCTTGATACAGTATATAGAAGCTACAGCTGGTGCAGAATGCTGTGACTACACTGCTGATGGGGGCAGACAGCCAACAGCGTGCGATACACCTCAGCTAAAGTCTGGCATTTAATGTCATGGGCCTATGCTGAGGAACATGCTTCCAGCAGAGATTCAACAGGCACCCTCACTTTTAACTTTGAGGCATTTCTGGGAGAATTTTTCCTGCCAGCAGGCCTTTGTAGCTATTTAATTTTAAATTTTTTAAAATAGATATTCTTAATGGTTACCTGCATTGTTTTTAAATAGTGTTTTATGTTTCAATGTTGCATACCATCCTGATATTTCTGTAATGTCCTATCAGAAAATAAATAACAATGAACTTGCCCCATCCTTTTGTGCTGTCACATTGGTGCATTTAAAATGAGAGAAACATGCATTCTGAATGATGGTTCGTGCATTAACTGAAACCAGGTGGGGTGGGGGACAGATTCCCAAGTAAAGGTCTAAGTGCTTCAAAAATACATGTATGATTTTGGCTTGATGGGAAAAGAAGGACTGGCAGTGACCCTTTTCTCCATACATAGGATCATCCTTCAGGGATTGAAGGTCTTAGCGGGCAGGGATGCTGAACGCCTCCAGCCCCAACTACAGATGATGGCTCTCAGTGTTTTACAGTCAATGAACAAAGAGGATAAAGAAAATGGTGGGCAACTTATCCCTCCCACGGCACTCACAAGAGCTCCGCCAAGGAAATCTGTAATGTGTTTGGGTTTAATCCTTCTACTGAGAGCTGTACCAAATGCATCTCGTGCAGGAAAGAGTGTCCATGTGGTTTCTGTTTGCTTGTTTTTGAACTTCCATTTTATAAGTTGTGGGTTGTTGGTTTGTTTTTTTTTTGCTTTGCTTTGCTTTGCAAGTCATCTTCTTACTTGACATGCAATATCTAATTAGTGTTAGGTTGCTATTCTTTCAAACTTTTGTTTTTCTCATGTGACATTTTGCCTAAGCTTAATGCTCTTTCTTCCCGTCCCCATTTTCCTCTGAACCATAATAGTTTTGGTGGGCTTTTGTTTTGTTTATGTTTTAGCCTCATTTGAGTACTTTCTAATACTAAGGTGTTTAAATATGTTTTTAAAAAACAAAACAACCGTAAGTAAAAGAAACATACATTCCTTTGTTCCCAACATGAGCACGTACTGGCTTTGTTTTGCTTAGCAGAAAGGCATTTCAAAAAGAAAAGGAAAGTCTCCTGCACATGCCTTTTCAAGAGTAGCTAAGGCATTTTAGCTGCAAGCTTCTGTGTGTTTACTTGGGAGTAAACCTCAATGGGACCAGCTTCTAAGTTAGCTTGTGTAAGACTGCAACCCCATGCCCATTTACCTGGAAATAAGTACCATCAAATACAGTGTGATTTAGTTCTGATGAAAAGTGCTGATTAAGACGCTTAAATTTACCTAAGCAAAATATCTCTTGAAACTTCAGATCTAAGAGGGGAGAGGACAGGAGGAAATCTACTAATTGAAGTGAAATAGCTCATTTGTCTTAATTTCTGAAGCCATGGTTTCTTAGCTGGGTTACTTGCCATCTCCTGCTTACCCCAAAGGCTGTAACCTAAGCGACTTCAACGCTATGCAGTCATTTGATCAAAATCTGCTCCTTATTTAAGGGCCAACAATATGCAAGCAATTACAGCGCGGGTCACGTTTATTGAATAAAACCACTTAGGCATTATGTTTACAAAGTTGAAGAAACATTAAAATCCAGTGAAAAACAATTATTTTTACAGGATACATCTGCAAGCAATTTTTTTTCCTGGAGTGATCTTTTTTTTTAAAAAAAAGGGAAAAATTGCTAAATCTGTCCCTAATAGACTTTGTTGGTGGTGTGGAAAATGTCCACATCACAGCGGTGAATTATTTTTGAAATGCCAAACTTAATGATATTATATATATATATATATATGTGTGTGTGTGTGTGTGTGTGTGTGTGTGCGCGCGCGCGCACAAATATCACAGGCCTTCAAAAAGCCAAAACAGTCATGGTTTCCTGACTAGTCAATCCTCTTAGTCTTGGCAGAATGCTTCAGACTAATCAGGAAGAGTTAGACAAATAGTTATTTTATTACAGAGACTGTCAAATAAATCAGGATGTGGCTGACAACTATTTCTGATCCCTGCAGTCTGGCTGACTAGTTTGTTGTTTAAAAAAATCTGTAGAAAAACTGTTACATACAGATCTCTGTGTGCGACTTTTTGTAGAACAACATGTCAAGCTTCAAGACTCCAAACAAAACTCACTCCAAACCTAGCCTAGCATTTTTCTTGGCCTCTTCCAACACCTGGGCGATGTAGCGTGGCTCACGCAGGACTGTGGATGTTTTATATCCCACTAAAGGCAATCAAACTTGTTATTCTTAAAGAGGAACTTTAGAATAACTTCATGCTGAAAAGGTAATTTAAATTAAATGCCTGCTCTCTCTCTTTGGTTTCATTTTATAAATGACACTGTCCATTTAATTAGGCCTCAGAGCTGACCTGCTTTGACATTAAGATTCTTTGCTGCTGTTATTTTTCTGACTGCTGCCCCCCACCCCTTTCAAAAAGACAAACCATAAGCTTTGCACAAGTTCCAAGAAGGGCTAAAGACTATCTAATGCAGGGGTAGGCAACCTAAGGCCAGGGGGCCAGATGCGGCCCAATCGCCTTCTCAATCCAGCCTGCTGACAGTCCAGGAATCAGCGTGTTTTTACATGAGTAGAAATGTGTCCTTTTATTTAAAATGCATCTCTGGGTTATTTGTGGGGCAAAGGAATTCATTCATTGCTCCCCCCACAAAAAAAAATATAGTCTGGCCCACCACATGGTCTGAGGGACGGTGGACCGGCCGACGGCTGAAAAAGGTTGCTGACCCCTGATCTAATGCAAGGATTTAAGAATGCTGTCAGTGAAAGCATGTCTGCCGTGCTATGTACTTCACTGAAAATAAAATAGGTATACATTATGAGGTTTAACTGAGCAACCTGAATAACTGAATAATATTTTAATTAGGGGAGCTAAAGACCCCTCGGGCCCTACAAGTTGGCTCTTATGGCCATGCCCCCTTCCATGCCTGTCCCATGGTGTGAACCCAAACAAAATGAAGCTGTGCTGACCTGAATGGCGTGGAGGAAGAGCTGTGAAAAGCACCAAAAAGCACCAGTTTAATTGCCTATTAAGTGGGCAATATGAACACACCCATAGGAAACTCCTGAACCAAAGGGAAACCTGACAAACCTGCTCACCCAACAGGAGGCCTCAGACCTTGTAGACTGTCTTCCTTTGCTAAGTAATCGGTTGGCGTGATAAGAAGAAATGGCCTATCAGAGCTGAGGTTCACACAGTCAAGCTACCGCAAATAATTGCAATAAATGTCCTTATGACATGTGGAGGAGGAGGAACAAGTAATGCCTGAATTACTTCACGGCCTGTAAATAATAAGAAAAGCAGAAGTGTTTTTGGCTGGGAGAGCAAACACTCCCTGTCCGCCACAGAGTTACTGCTTCAATAAAACCCCATTGACTTTCTCTACTTGCACTATGACTTGCATTACACTCTGCTAATTACAGAGCTGTTATTCTGGGCCATAAAATAAAGGAGTATTGATACCAACTGCTACTCAAAAGGAAATAGGCAGACAGTAAATGAAACTTTAGGACAGGCTTGCTCAAACTAGTGCCCTCTGGATGTTTTGGACTACAGCTTCCATCCATGTCCAAATTATCTAGGAGGTATCAGGTTAAGGAAAGCTGCCAGGGCAGCCCTTTCACTGCGTGTTTGATATCTGCAAACTAAAATGTTAGAATGAAGTTGGATAGAAACTAAGTGGTTTCTAGCTGTAATGTTATAAGGGAATATGAAAAAATGGACTATTAATAGGTAAAAATCTAATGTTACAATACTTTAAGATTGAAGATTAGGATAAACAAAGAGGGAGGGATTTGCTGAACTAACAAACTGAATTGGAATACAGAAAAGGGAGGCGTGAGGAGGTCCGGGAAATAAGCAAATGAAAGATAAGTGATTGAAAGACTGAATTGTTTTTAACTATTTTTATTTTGTATTTTTCTTTTTTCTTTTTTTTATTTTGTAATATTTTGAAAATCTTAATAAATATCTTTTTTTTAAAAAAAAAAGATATCTGCAAACTAATTAACATTGCATGAGAAATGTGTGTGTGCCAGGCCAGGGTGGAACTGTACAAAGGCTTGAGACCATCAATGAGCTTGCAGTGAAATATTTGTGATTGGTAGGGGGATTGGACGAAGGGCTATATTCCTTTTAGGATGGTATGTTAACAGTCTAAGTACAACTGTCTTTGGAAATACTCTTTTTTCTAAAGGACCTAGGTGAAGGCAAGCAGGGATACAATTATAGTTCACAGAATATTGGCAATGCTTATAATCCTTCACTGTCAAGTGGCCTGCAGGGATGAGCGTACATGTCATCATCACTGAGTGCCCAGTCAATATAAAATGTATAAACTATCCATTCGTCCTAGGTTTGAGAGCTTGCTAAGGCTGGGGTTTCTGAATGGAACTTTGGAACCAATAAAGATTAGCAAGTGGTTCATTGAAAGCAAAAACAAACAAGCAAACATAAAACATCCTGCTGATGTTTCTAGCAAGCTTATGAAAGAGCAGAATAAGATAATATTAGCAGTTAAGAGATGGCCTCCTGTTTCCGTCCAGACAATCCATTTATAATGCATCAGGTGTGCAAATTTTGCTTTTTTGTGTGTTGGGATCAAAAGTGGGAACTTCAAGAGTGTGCTTCTGGTTTGGGAGGATGTATTTTTTCCTGATTTCAAATTACAATTGCCACATTTGCATGTCTCCGTAAACCATAAAGCAGGGGTAGGCAAACTAAGGCCCGGGGGCCGGATGCGGCCCAATCACTTTCTCAATCAGGCCTGTGTACGGTCCGGGAATCAGCGTGTTTTTACATGAGTAGAATGTGTCCTTTTATTTAAAATGCAGCTCTGGGTTATTTGTGGGGCATAGGAATTTCCCCCCCCCCCATATAGTCCAGCCCACCACATGGTCTGAGGGACGGTGGACCAGCCCACGGCTGAAAAAGGGTGCTGATCCCTGCCATAAAGCATGCTTAAGTGCATAAATGAATCACACCTTAGCAACTCCTAACTTGAACTGGAAGTAAGCATACCACAAACCCTGGTTTGAATATAACACTAAGGCAGAACTGCCTTAGAACTGGAAGGGATCCTAAGGGTCATGTAGCCCAACCCCCTGCAGTCATCCCTGGGTAGGCTCGAATCACCAACCTACTTGTTAACATGGATCCATTGTGAGCATTTGTTTCCTCTATTAAATATAGCTTACTATGGTTTGTGAACTGGGCTACTGTGGACGTGCGAAAATGCAATTATTTCCCTGGAGAGAGAGGGAAGATAAGTGTGTGAGTGAAAGTTTTTCCTTGCCCCTCACTTCCCTCTCTGCTTCTGTTAGATGGTGGTGATGTTTGGCCCCAGTGAGGTCAATTTCCATTATTGGGCAGAGGGAGATCATGGCAGGCAAACTTACAGCTACCCTTTTGCAAACAAAATAAACACATAGAGAGCAGTGCTGTGTCCTTGGACGTGACTTTAAATGTATTTTCCCCCCTTCTCTATGAAAGGCAGAAGAAGGGTTAGCGAATGAGTCTTTAAACTCTTTCTTAAGACTTAATAATTCACATTGTCATTGGGGAAAGGAATTAAAAGTGCCAGCAGCTATCCAGATAGATTTTAAAATCTCCTTTTTTGCCCCTCACTCCCTCCTTCTCCTGCTGCATCCCTCAGCTTCAGAGAATATTTTCCCCACAAATTGGTTTTAAATTAAAGGAGGTGATGAAGGCAATGTGCCGTCTCAGCATTTTCCCAGGTGCACTTAATCTAATTTCATTAAGGAGATCAGAACTGATGATTGCTACAGCCGAAACATTAAGTCTGTCCATTTTTGTATAAAAACCATTAACTCTGTCAAAGTATCTGTGGGTGGGCTGTTTATTATTGGAGATGAAGGCACGCTTTGCTTCCCCAATAAACTGTCAGGAGCAGTAAGCCACAAATTAAGTCAGCTGCTGACAAAGATTTAGGCAAAAGGCCTTCAACTAGTTTTGACACAGGTATACAGGAAGCCTTGGGAGAGGGACCTTTAAAGCAGCCTGCAAATATGGAGAGGCACCCTTCAGAAAAATGGGCTGGGGGGACTTGAGGTTTAGTTTCACAGCCTGCTAATGGCAGAAATAATCATGGCTATCGTCTGCTGACCACGGCTGTGTTATTTAATGTCCGCGGCTCACACTTGAGTCCAAGCGCATTAATGATGTTTGATTATATTTTATTACTTATGTGTGGAGATATTTACTGTTGCTTAACTAAAAAGTAAAGGTAAAGGTACCCCTGCCCGTACGGGCCAGTCGTGTCCGACTCTGGGGTTTCGTGCTCATCTCGCTTAAGAGGCCGGGAGCCAGTGCTGTCCGAAGACACTTCCGGGTCACGTGGCCAGCGTGACGAAGCTGCTCTGGCGAGCCAGCACCAGCGCAGCACACGGAAACGCCGTTACCTTCCCGCTATAAAGCGGTACCTATTTATCTACTTGCTCTTGGGGGTGCCTTCAAACTGCTAGGTGGGCAGGAGCTGGGACCGAACGACGGGAGCTCACCCCGCCGCGAGGATTCGAACCGCCGACCATGCAATCGGCAAGTCCTAGGCGCTGAGGTTTTACCCACAGCGCCACCTGCGTCCCCTGGTTGCTTAACTAGGTCACTTCAAATGTGGAGTTAGTAGCATTGCATAGTACTGAATGTGGAATTTACACTGTATTATTTTTTTAAATGCTTTTTTACTTTTCTGGGGTTTTTTTTTGAAGCGGTACACACATGTTGAATAGTAAATATGCTATTTTAAATGTTAGGCACCTGCTCTTCCATTGCCAAGGCAATCTTAGGGCAAGTGACACTAAAACTAATACAAAAGGAGTTAAAGTCAACAGCAGCAGCTTGACCAGAAGGAGGCCAAGTAAGTGACGCCGTACCACTGCACTGTTTGCTACGAAGACTGCTTCAATTGCCAGGGCAAATACATGAGCTGAAAACACCATGGGAGTTGGCATCAGCCATACATGAGAGGGAAGGGAATTCTATAAATTGGACACTGATACTGAAATAATTATATTGTTAATATAGTGTAAACCTGGCAAGCTACATCTTTCTTCTACAAAACTATTAAAAGGTGCAGGAGCCCTGACCTCTCTTGTAGCTAGCCACCCTAGGATACATGCCACTAAAGATTGCAAGGGTTCTTGCCTGGAGGGACTTGCGATCTAAAACTCAGCACCAGAAGGGAGGAAAGTGGAGGCAGGGTTAACAAAGGAATGATGTGTGACTGATCTGGTTCGGATTAATACCCTGAGATATGACCAATCCTTTTCCACATTCATGCTACCCTGTCCTCTTGAGCTATGATTAAACCAGGAAGTGACTAACCATAGTTTCCCAATCCTATTTCATCTGAAATCAGGAAACTATGGTTACCAATTTTGGAAGAAGCTACAATTTCTATCCTGCCTTGCTCCGAAACTGGTGGCTATCGTTTCCAAGTTCAGATGAAATGGGGAACTATGGTTAATTGGAGGCTTCCTGGTTTGAACAGGAACTATAATTAACTGAAGACTTCCTGGCACGTATGCTCATGTCATGGAGGAAAGACAGAAGGGGTTATGTGCACAGACACAAGGTTTGTTCAGAATAAGGTGACAATGTCAGTTACATGTAAATTAGTGCCAACAGCTCAAAGTATACTATAGCACTCAAAAAGCTATTTTTCTAGAAAAAGAGGTGCTGAAATTCACCATGAACACCTCCCTCATTCTCTTAGAATGGCAATGGTGCCCACCTGAGAGTTGCCAGAAGTGAGTTCCTGTGAATTCCCCCTGGGGAAAAAAGCCCTGAGCACATGTAACTGAAAAGCTGGCCAGGGGGTGAGTTTTCACCAGAAATACTACAATGTAGGTGCCAGACAAGCCTCTCTGGGAAGGACATTCTATAACTAGGGCACTGCCACCAAAAAGGCCCTCCTCACAGAAACCACCGACATCACCTCATTTAGTGGGAGACATAGAAGGCATCTGAGGAAGCCTTCCCCAGTCTTGTGCCCTCCATATCTTTGGGCCTACAACTCCCATTGCCCCAGCCAGCATGGCCACTAGTCAAGGAAGATGGGAATTGTTTGTTGAAATTGAGCTTCTTGTTTTACTCCTGTTTTCCATGCCTTACACTGTTACCCTTGGTGTGTTAGGGACTTCCCCTGCATGTGAAGACAAGACCACTTGGTCAAGAAGGCAGTTTCTGCATGTGACATAGAGGGAAGTGAAGAGCAGATGGGACTCGTCAATCTGGGAAGGTAGCACATCTAGGAGAAGGAAAACTCTAATCCTAAACCTCCACTGCCATGCGAGATATCTTCAGGAGAAGAAAAGGCTAAGGAGTAAACCCTATACAAAATCAGATTGTATAGGAGTAAACCCTATACAAAATTTGATTGTACAAGATGGCTGCAGCCAAGCTGGTGCCAAATGTATTGCTCTGCTTTTCTTTGGACCACATCAGTGAGGCTGAGAGGGGGGTCTTGTCATCTGGGCAGTCCTCCATGCACTCCCCAGGCTTGCACCCCCGGGAGGTCAGTTCAGTGCTAACACAGCTGTTTAACTTAACCGCTGGAGGCACACTCCATTACCTCTTGAGAGAGACGAATGCCAACAACAGCACTGTTACCTCCCTTCTCAACATGGGCCTGTCACATAAACATAAGCTTTCAGGTTCCCCTCCTCCACTCTCTTTTTTCTAAATCTGCTTTATTGATTCTGCAGACAGCTCCTCTTCATCATGCGTATATGTATTTAGAGGCATTAAAAAAGCAACAGCAGTGGATTATTGATCGGGGAGTTGATGCAAAGGTTCCTCTTCTCTCAGCAGCAAAGTAATAGCGACGTGGGCAAACATAGAGAAATGCTACTTAGTACAACATTAATGCCAATACTTTGCAGACTCCAATCTTCTGATGAAAACAGCTCACATTTGTGCTGTTTCAGTGCTTCATTCCAATGCCCACTTCTTTTAAAGACAACTAGACACTTGCCCATATTTAACTCTGGATATCCTTCCAATGTCCATTACCAACAGCGCCAGTGGCATTTTGCAACTATTTTGTAGTGGCAAACTTATGAATGAAGAGCAGCCCTACTGGATCAAACTAAAGGTTCATTTACTGCACAGCACCCGGCTTTTCAAAATGACCAGGCAGATGCTCCCAGGGAGTCCAGAAAGGTATAAAGCCAACAGTTCCCTGTCATTGTTGATCTCTTGCAGCTGGTATTCAGAGGCATTCTAGCAACCAAGCATGCATTTTGCTGCTATTATGACATATGAGCAGCAACACTTCACAATTAGACTGAAGAAGGGCAGCCAATCTGTTGACAACCCTGGGTTCACGAAGGAACTCCATTGTTGTAAGTCACTGTGCAGTCAGAAAAATGGCTGCCTTATGGAGAGCCAGCTAATTGTCTGCACACAACCCTATATTTTCCCCAGGTATACATCCTGGTAGTTACTACCTGGAGAAGTGCCAAGGATAGAATACAGGACCTCATCCATGTCAAACATCTGATATATCCCGGAACGGCAGCCACTCTTCCAACAAGACCATCAAAGCTGAGTTTGCAATTGACCACTTGGTCACAGAGATCAACCGAACCCACTCCAAGACAGCAAATAAACTTTTCACTTTTTAACTAATATTGAGTTGGCAAAAAGCAAATTGAGCAATTGAGGAACTTTGACAGCATGGTGAGGTCAGAGCAGGCTACTCTCCTCACCCCACCCGAGGCCCTTGTGACTGAACAAATCACAAGCACCCAAATAAATTATCTCAGTCAACAACAACAACAACAACTGATATGCCATTAGAAAGCCAGCAGGGGTGAGGATAGCTGGTGAGAATGTCACATATACAACTATACCTGTTGGATAGAACTAGAGTATAAGCTCAGTGCAATCGGCTCCTGGTCCTCCTGACTTGGATAAGCTTCTAAATACTGGGTAAGTTTCTGAATACAGTGGTACCCAGGGTTAAGAACTTAATTCATTCTGGAGGTCCGTTCTTAACCTGAAACGGTTCTTAACCTGAAGCACCACTTAAGCTGAAGCTAATCAGGCCTCCCGCTGCCGCCACGCCACTGCTGCGAGATTTCTGTTCTCATCTTGAAGCAAAGTTCTTAACCCGAGGTACTATTTCTGGGTTAGCGGAGTCTGTAACCTGAAGCATCTGTAACCCAAGGTACCACTGTACCAGTTGCTGGGAATCACAAGTGGAAACAGTGCTGTTGCATTCAGGTTCTGCTTTCTGGATTACCACAGGGCTGCCATGACAATAAGATGCTGAACTAGATGGCACTGGTCTGATTAAGCAGGGGTCTTCTTACATACTGCAATTTTTTAAATTTTATTTGTGGTCAGTGCACTGCAAATAAATTGAATTAGAATAATCCTTCCCGAGTGATTATAGTTATTATGTTCATCTTGTTTACAGTATTATGTCACTAAAAGGCTACAATGCTACTCTAAACATAATATTGTGACCATGTAATAAAGAAAACAGATGTTTTCAATATGGAGACACTGCTGCATCTGTGAAACTAAGGCTCTCCTTTATTAAACCAGCCACCTTTATCCAGGCATTAAACAGATGTCAGTTTTCTAACTCTTATTGTTTTGTCCTTCAGCTAATATCTCTGGGTTCTCAACTTTTTAATCTTTAGGAGCCAGGAAGTCTGCTCCATTCAGGAGGATCACATACCTTAACTGTGTGTGATTTTTCCCCTTTTGTGTGCCTATGAAGACACTAAAACCAAACACACATTCTTGCAGCGCTAAGAGGAATCAGAGAACAGGAAATGCTCATTGAGGTGCCTTGAATAAGCAGAGACAGGAAGGTGCTCACTTTGTTCTTCCAGCAGAAGTATGACAAATGATAGACAATTTGTCAGCTGCAAAAATGTGCTGTTGCAATTGATACCTCACCTTTCTTTATAAATATAACAATCGAGGCTTATATAAAAAACAACATAACATAATGTAAGAACATACAATCTTAATTTCAAATGGAATACATATGAATAACTTACAAAAACCAATCCCAGGGTGTAGCAGCACTTTACAACAAAATATAAATCTACTCCACCCCACTAAAAGCTTTCAGAAATGGTCATGTTTCAAACGGATGGCTATAGCAATACAGTGTCGGGGCCTGGTAAATCTTCTTAGGGAGGGGATGCCAAAGATACCACAAAAGGGTTTGCTAATTGTGATCTGGGATCCTCCAAAATACAGTAGATAAGTACCGTATTTTTCGCTCTATAAGACGTACCTGACCATAAGACGCATCTAGTTTTTAGAGGAGGAAAACAAGAAAAAAAATATTCTGAATCAAATGTTGTTGAAGAAGCTTTGAGCAGCTATCGCTGAAGCCAGAATAGCAAGAGGGATTGCTGCACAGTGAAAGCAGCAATCCCTTTTGCTGTTCTGGCTTCTGTGATAGCTGTGCAGCCTGCATTCGCTCCATAAGACGCACACACATTTCCCCTTACTTTTTAGGAGGGAAAAAGTGAGTCATAGAGCAAAAAATACGGTATACTTTGCAGAGCACAATGGCACATTCAGCAGGTAATCCTTCAGTTCCTAGTTTTGTATATAAATAATTTTATTGGTAACAGTAACATATTCCATCAGGCTGTGACAGTGGTGGCTGGTGCCCACTGAAGCAGAAGGCAGGAAGCCCAACATTAAGTGAAGATGGAGCCAAAGACAGGCAGAGCCAGCTAAATCTAGTTTTTCCAACCCACCCTTCCTGGCTGAGGTCAACAAGGGTTAACACTGACTCAGGGCTCATCCAGACTTCCTTTTGTACCGCCTCTGTAGGTACAGGCTCTGTGTCCGAGAATATGTATGTCTTTTGTCCCGGCACTTTCCCCAGGGAAACCCGTGTTTTACTGCTGAATCAGAGCAAATGCCAATCTGAGCTTTAAAGCACAGACCTGTACCTAGGAGTGGTGCAAAAGGAAGTCTGGATGTGCCCTAAGGAGGCACTGGCGGAGGAAGGGGGATGCGGTGGGTGCAGTCCACCCCGGGTGTCATCCCTAAGGGGGGTGACATCACCACCCCGCCCCCTGGGACGCTTGCCCCGCCCCCGCGCAGCTAGCCCCCCCCCGGGTGCACAGCATGTGTGCCGCTCTGGGTCCCGGAGCAGCTAGCTCTGCCTCTGTAAGGAGGAGAAAAGTAATTCAGCCCCTGAACTGCTCGTAAGCAGAAAGGCAGGCAGATAGGGACTGGTTTGTCCTTAAGGACCTCCACTGGGCTGGGAGAGAGGGAGAGAGATGGGACTGCAGGGCTTCTCCATTTGCTCAGCCGAAATACCAACAATTTCTGACTGTCTGCAAAATTTTTCCATTCCTGATATTTGCTGAAATATCTCTGTAATTAAAAATTAGTGCCTGAACTCCCCGCCCCCGTCCCCTTCCCTTTTGTCTCACGTCTCTTAGGCTCTGAGCCTGAGGGTGTGGACTGTCTTCTCGGTGATATTTGTAAGCCACTTTGGGAGCAGGAGGAAAAGGCTAATGCTTACGATACTCAGTTATGAGCACTCAGTTAAATTCACTTAGCGGCATACTTGTTCCACCGGTGAGAAATAGTAATAAGCAGGTTGCTGGTAACTTTGGTCATAACAGATGGTGCAATCTGTTGAATAATGAGTTTTGCTAGCACAACTGTTGCGTTGGATTCCTCTGTTGCACATTAAAAAGTGCTAGTCCTTGCACTAATGGGCAGGGAACACTGGAGGCAGCCCAGTGTCTTTGGAGAACCGTCTGATCATGAAACGTGGAGAGCTGCATTATACCAAATAAAGTTGGACCACTGGGTCCATTTAGCTCCATACTGCCTGCACTGAGAGGCAGCAGCTATCCAGTGTTTCAGACTACCCTTTCCAGCCATAAAGCATTTCCCATGTTAAAGCATATCCCACAGAGCCACAAACCTTCCCCACAGATGGAAACTGGTATCCTAAGGCTTGGACACCAAAGCCAGCAGAACAGAAGTTATAAAAAGGGAGAGAGAAAGGGATAAGAAATGTAAGGCTCTGAAAGGAACAGGTGCCTGAAATTTTCTTTTGATGGGTGAAAGATTGTGTCTGGAATCCGGCACAGAGGGCTGTGCCATTTGGGGAAAACATCATGTTTCTAAAGGTTCTTCCATGTCACCCTAAAGGAGCACAGGTAGGTCATGGCTCAGAGGATGGTTTCAAAGTAGGGTGGTTATCTTATTAGAAAAATCTTAATAAATTAATCATATGAGTTTAACCCGATTCATCCATTAAATCCCAATCATTCAAAGAAAGAAAGAAAGAAAGAAAGAAAGAAAGAAAGAAAGAAAGAAAGACTTATCCCTTTTAAAGACTCCGTAGTAGCTAGGGAGGGCTGGGAAAGGCCTCACTGCCTGAACCTTTGAGGATCCACTGCTGGTCAGTACAGACAATGCTGAGCAAATGGACCTGTGAATTCACCTGATATAAACAGCTTTCTGTGTCCCTAATCATGGGACAACTATGCAGGAAAGCCAACCAGTACCAAACTTTGACCAGATGCCACTGAAGAGAGGCTGCCACATAATGGTGTTTAGGCATTATGTCAATTAAACCATCTAATTAAACCACCAGTTTAGGCATTTCAGCAATTACCCCAGGGAGGAATTTCCTCCCAATGCAAACGGGAAGAGGGATTTGCCTCTGGACCACAGCAGGGGAGGAAAGGGTTAAATTCTCTCTCCATGCCTGCTCTGGCCTCTGATCCTATTAATTATGCTGGAAACTTGTATTTCCAACTTGTATTTTATCCGAAATCTGTAGTTTACCCTCTCACAGGGCAACCATTTTGAGCTCCCTTAGACATAATACAGTTCCTCAGCCTCTCTTACACAGGGGTGGATGAATCTTCTAAGAAAACACTGAATTATCTGACGCCAAAGTCCATGTCCATGATATGAGGCTGACATGTCATAAAAACTTTAATACTGAAAACTAAGGGCTGCCTTTGGTGGGAAGCAGGTGCACACAGAACCCCACCCCTTTTCGTTTCAGCTCCAGGTCTTAGCTACTTGAGGTTTTAAGCTTTTTCCTGCCACCATTGTAACACAAAATCAAACCACAGCATAAATATGCAGCGAACGTTTAATTAACTTAGAAGTGCAATGCCATTTGCACCCCTACCCCTCCTTCCTCAGTGTCTTATTTAGTAAATGAAGAAATGCCTGATATCTAACCCTTGATTTGTAGAGCTCGCTTATGCTCTGGGTCCATACAATTAAACTGACAACCCATAATTTGACTCGCAGCAGTGGGGAGCCCAAGAATGAAAGAGCACGAATGTTGAATTACTTTGAGGGAAGGTAATAGGTTCTCTCCCCCCCCCCCCCACATCCCACATTTTATACTTAATACTGCTCCAAACATTGTTATTAGCAAAAGTCTCAGCAACATTTTGGAATAATGATGAGAAGGAATTAGTCATTCCCTTGTTTTACGCAACTTGACTTTTGGCTTTTCGCAGAATGCCATTTAGCGGGAGCACATTACCAAGCTGCTCGCCTCTTTTCATCTGAACGCTAAAGCAGGTAAGAGACAATAAGAGGAACTGTTGATGGTTTATATTACTCTATTATGTTAATGTTCACTAAAGTATGCCATAAGCTCTCTCATTACATGTGTATAAACCAATTCTCTGTGGTGTTATTCCTGTGCTAAATGCTATAACTACATAAATCTTGAATTAATGGAGACTTTATAGTTCCTGAAAATGAAGGGTAATTGCTGTCTGTTAATGCTGTTGTAGCTAGTAAAGGAAGTATATATTTTCAGTAGCAATGTTTATGGGCCGTCAGAGCAATGCCACCGTCACTGCTACGTGCTGCAAAAGATCTCCGGACAAACTGGGAGTCCCTGTCTTTTTCCCCTCTGAGGCAAATGAAAAGCAAAGCAAAAACAAGGGAGGGACGGAGGGAAGACATAGGAGGCTCTTTCCTATTATTCATCTATCTCAGTGTTGTGTACACTGAGAGGCAGCAGATTTCCGGGGTTTCAAGCAGGGAACACTCCCTGGCCTTTCTGCATGCAAAGTAGCTGCTCTACCACTGAGCTACAGCTCCATGCAACACTGTCCTAGATGCTCTAGGATAATGGTTTTCAACCAGTGTGCCATGGCACCCTGGGGTGCCTTGAATGATGGTTACGGGTGGCGCAGGCAACACTGGCTTCTGTCCCTCTTTCCTTCCGTCCCTCCTCTGATGTCCTCTTGCATCTCTGCCTCCCAAAGGTTTGCACAGCTGTTTATTGCAGCACCCCTGGCTATAACCTCCGTAGGCAAATGGTGCCTCTAGAAGGCACCTCTCTTTGGGGTGGGGCGGGGCAGCTCAGAGACCAGGGATGGCAATAGCAGCTGCCTGGAGGACTCCCAAAGAGAGGGGAGAAGAGAAGAGGCTGAGGGAACACTCCACAAGGGAGGGTGTTCAAACAAGGGTGAGAGGCTGCCAGCTCTGCAGGCAAAGGATGACAAAACTGGGCTCCTGAGCCTCAGATGGGTGCTGCAGAAATAATGTAGTTGGTTAAGGAAGCCATGGACTCAAAAAGGCTGAAAACCTCTGCTCTAGGAAACAAAACAAAAGCACCTCCAGATTCTGCTAAACACCTTCTCTCAAAATCAATAAAGCTCTCCCTCCTTTTCTGTCAGATGGCTGTTGTGGTTGCTCGAGAGTAACCAGGCAGGACTCCAACCTGTCTTTTACAGGCTTTATTTTGGTGCAAACTATTTACAGTGAAGAGCCCCAAAGCTCATGTCTGGCTCAATCGCTAGCAGAATCCAGGAGTGGTCGTCTTTTGGACCTCCCCCAACATAGGGGTTTCGTTACCCCCGCCTTCTCCTTCCCTCTCTGCGCCTTCTACTACTGCGCAGGATGGGTGATGGCAAGGGCGTGTTTCCCTCCTGTCCAGCTTGCCCAGGAGTGGTGTTAAGGCTCCCACCAGCATCCTCTGGTCCTTGCACCTCTTCCCCACTGGAGGTGGGGCTTTCCTCCTCCCCGGAAGAAGAACTGCTTCGCAAGATTTTCGGAGGCTCCCTGTAACACAACTGCCCTTCTGTTTCTCGCCTCTAAGCTGAAGGCAGTTCCCTGACATTTTCCTTTGTTTTAAACAAAAAAAGGTGGGCACACTCTGAATGCAAGACAGAAGATCTGTCAAGCAGATTTGTCACTGACAGTCATTTGGAACAAAATTTTAATACTGCAATTATGGGCCCATTCTCTGATCCCAGCTGGTATTGCAGTAGTAAGAGTACTTGTGAACTCTTTCATCCCATCCTTTATTAAACTGGATTAAGAAAAAGACAGAGGACACTCGGGGGGGGGGGGCAAGGTTTGGTTGGGCTGTAGACATGAATGGGACCCAAGACATCAGTCTCAAGCCTCTGTAAACACCAAGCTTTAGAGAACATTATTTTCTA